TGGTTGATAAACAGGAACAGATGGTGCCAGCTTGGTAGGGCCCAATTTCGATGTATTGTTATTAGACACAAATTAAGTATTTAATTAAAATAGAATAAAATGTAAAAGTTAGATATTTACCTATTTTTTGATTATGTATTATGTCTCAATGCATCTAATCTTACAAGATTAACCAGCATTTTTGCAATAACCAATTTAAAATGTAGATTTTACTTGTGTTACTGGTTATTATTCTGTACATTTCGACATTGTGGCTTATTCGCCGGGTGCGCGAAGGAAGCAACATCTTGTGACCGCATTAAATCTGGCCCTATCAATGAATGAATTACATGTAAAATCGCTGTGAAATATAAGTGTAATACGTGATAAATATTAAATAAATAGTAAATATTACAAATCGCGATTAAAAAAAGTAAATATAAGTAATTTTAATGAGTATAAAATGCATTTTATTTTAAATAAAATAATGCTGAATAGATAAAGGCCAAAAATAAAGAAGAACATAAGAATAGTATTAGGTTAACTGTCAAAAAAAGATTAGTTTAAAAATTTAAACTATTAATATGTTTTAATAAATTCTTTGCCAATGAACATCATTATTCAAACAGGATTTGAGGCAATATCTCATGAGATATTGTGTCAACGTAAAACTTTGTACAAAGGAAAACAACTGGTAAGAGCAAATCATGTCAGAGAAGTGAAAGAATTTAGAAAATACGCGGACTTGCCTCCTCTTCTGATTTTTTACCTCCAATAAAATGATCGCTACAAATGCAATCATTTGGTTTTGGAATCCACGGTGATCCATCAAGACTATATAAAAATATTATTTTAATTATAAGAAAAGGTAAAGTTAGGTTGTACATTACTTACTTTTTTGTTTTAACTGCTTCTATCCATTTCGCTCTTTTTTCTAATTTCCAACTGGCAGTTGGAAATGTATAAAATTTGCAACTACTATTTTTGCCTGTATTTTTGCATTCACAACGCAACAAGTAGAATGCCCCATTTTTCGTATAAAATAAGTACGGTTAACTGTCAAAACGTCAAAAGACCGAGAAAAACCGTATTTTGCTTAGCGATTTTGTTATATTCGGGCTATCGTATGCCGTGAAGATTTATCCCTATAACTTCTGAATGGTTAAAGATTAAAGTATAGGAATTGCTTCGTTGGCAAGAAAAAACTATGGTTAACAAATTTGTATTCGTTCAAAATTTTTCAAAACTCAATAGTTTTTGATATATTGGCGTAATAATTAAAAATTAAATGTAATTCAATTTAAATTTTTGTTAAAACTCAAAAACTAATAACCTTAGGAAAATTAATTATTCACCATTCGACGGAGAAAACTGTTTTCTACAAATTAGCAGGAACGAAAAATTTTCTTAAATCCAACCGTTCATGAGATATTTAAATTCATTTATTAATTTATTCACAACAAAATCCAGATTTAATGCCTACTTTGTCCACTGCGAACGCTGCTGTTGATTCGACTGTCCCCACCATATACTTTGCACCTTGCGAATAGCACTAATTCTACTTTATTACTATCACTTCATAATTAAGGTCTACGGACTAGGTCTTGATTGTTTAAAAAAAGGAGTACTTCAATGTTTGTATATGTTTGTGAAATCTCTCCTAATATTTTTTGGCAATTATCCTAACTTCTTCTGGAATGGATTCATCTTTGGAGTTCTCGGTGCAAATCTTTATTCCGAACATACTAAGGAGTATTTATTATGTTCCTGAGCATTCGGTTTCGTACTATTTATAGGCAAGTGAAGCATAAATTAAATCATTGGATCACAAAAGAAGATTTTAATAAAAAAATGGAATAAAATCAGTGTAGGTTCACTCTATGTTTTGTCTTTTTTATATAATTTTTGAAATATATAAAGACAATTGATTATTTTGCTTTTCTATACAGGGTATCCCGAAATTAGACGGTCATATTTTAACAGCCTAATCTACATCTTAAAATAGAAGTAAAAGGTCATATAAACATAGGTCCGAAAACGTTTCGTTTTCGAGATACAGGGTGTTACAAGTGAAGTCCTGATGGCACATTTTTGTAAATATTTTCTAAAATTTCTTTAGTCACCGGTTTTTCAAAGTTAAACAAAAATAAAATTTCTGATTCCACAAGCCTACTTATTATTGTTTACACTTTCGAATAAGATAACATCAACTTATCATTAAATTTTTAAATGCTTTTCTCTTGAAAATGGTGCGTCCTAGCGAGATACAACAGAATTAGCTTTATTATAAAGAAAACATTGGTTTTCCTAATTTTGTAGTCACTGTAAACTGAAGTTTAGTCCATTACATAGAGCGTAAAAAGGTAAGAATTTGTACCAAATTTCACTTAGTTATCTTTAAACGTTTAGGAAATATTTACAAATGTGTGTCATCAGGACTTCACTTTTAATACCTTGTATCTCGGAAACAAAACGTTTTCAGACATGTACATATAAACTTTTACTCTTATTTTTAAGATATAGATTACGCTTTTAAAACATGACCGTCTAATTTCGGGACACCCTGTATATTCAAAAATGTTGTTTTTTTTTATTTTCTATATTGTATTAAGAAATATATTAAAAATAATTTACATATTGTTATAATGAACGGCTTAACTATAGACAGACAGGCCTGCTGGGCCTGCATGAATTCTTTTTTTTATTACTTGAATTCAAAATTGAATCTAGTTTTTTCTTGCAATAAAATTATTTTTTTTACTACTAACATGAGAAATCACCATTATTTACTCCATTCCTCTAATGAGAAGTAATATTTCTCTCCCTAGGTAAATAATGATAATAAAAAAAAACCTAGGTAAATAATGAAACTAAATTTCATTAGTTTCATTTTGTTAATTTGACAACTAAACTCCCAGACTACTTGATATTTTGAAATATTTGAAAAATAAGTAGGAAATAACTAAAGCTGGGTTTATTAAAATCTAATCAAATATGATAATATATATATATCAGTGTTAATAGTAAAAATATATATTAACTAGGAAATTCAACACCGGCTTTAAAAATTATTAATTAATAACAATAAATCCATGTCATTAAAATATCAAAAATGCAATGGGATATTTCCTAGAATCATACCAAAATTTGACACATGCCAAATTTTTACATAAATAAAGCCAGTCTGATTAGAAACACGCTCCAGTCTGCTTGATATTTCGAAATATTTAACAAATTGTTAGGAAATTACTTATGTCAAAATTAAAATTGCTAATACATTAATGTTAGTAGTAAAAAAAATTCTATATATACCTCGGCTAAGAAAGCTATTATTTACCTCGCACATTATATCCCTCGGCGCTACGCGCCTCAGGATATAAAAGTGCTCGGTAAATAATAGCTCACTTCTCACCCTAGGTATATAATGTACTATTATACCTCCTTAATTGTAAGCGATATACTTACAGGCTTTAGAACTTACTAGTAAATCAGCAGGGCTTTATTCTGAGTATACATATTTGTATATTTTTAATGTTTAACTATTCAGTTTTAATTTTTAGATGTTCCTTCTATATTAGTTTAGCATCCAGATTTATATCCAGGTATTTTATGTTTTCTTATTTGGAATAATATTGTTATTTAAGTCTATTGGTGAATATATAATCTGTTTAGACCAGATTTGTTTACTATTGATTCAGCTTTTAGGATTAGCTGCTGTTTCTTCTATAGTTGATCATATGGTTAAGACAGCTGATATATATCTATAGAGCAGTGAAATAAACATTGTTTTGAAAAAAAATGTCATTTGTGTAAATAATGATTAACAATGAAACTACTACTCAAAAATTTTACAGAATACAAAATTTTGAATTCGTAGAATAAAATGCAATATTCGCAGAATTGGATCAAGCAAGAATAAACCATCAATACACGTGTAATTTGTAATTTGTAATTTGTAATTTGTAATTTGTAATTTGTAATTTGTAATTTGTAATTTGTAATTTGTAATTTGTAATTTGTAATTTGTAATTTGTAATTTGTAATTTGTAATTTGTAATTTGTAATTTGTAATTTGTAATTTGTAATTTGTAATTTGTAATTTGTAATTTGTAATTTGTAATTTGTAATTTGTAATTTGTAATTTGTAATTTGTAATTTGTAATTTGTAATTTGTAATTTGTAATTTGTAATTTGTAATTTGTAATTTGTAATTTGTAATTTGTAATTTGTAATTTGTAATTTGTAATTTGTAATTTGTAATTTGTAATTTGTAATTTGTAATTTGTAATTTGTAATTTGTAATTTGTAATTTGTAATTTGTAATTTGTAATTTGTAATTTGTAATTTGATATGATATTAGCCAAAGGAGCAGCTGTTTTCAGGAGGGAAATGGCCGCTCGTTATTTCTGTGACACGGACTTTAAGCTTTTTGCTTTTATTGTTTATTTTTAAATCGGTCACATTTGAGAATTATAATTTATTTCATTTATATTTTTCTAGTTTTTATTTTTGTAATTTTTATTTTTGTAATTTTTATTTTTGTAATTTTTATTTACATAATTTTTATTTTTATAATTTGTAATTCTGTAATTTGTATATTTTTTTTGTAGTTAGGTAATGTTACGAGATGTCAAAATTGTTTTTAAATTGTAGGTTTGATAAAAAAAAACAAAATAAATTTGAAATTGGGTAGTTTGCTGTTCCATCAAGGCAATGGTTAAAGTTATATCTTTTTTTTGTAATGGCTGCTTTTCATCAAGCGGGATTCTAATTGGTTGAACATTTAACCTATTCGCCAGATTTGGCCCCTAGCGACTACAGACTGTTCCCGAAACTAAAAACTAACTGTTTGAAGAAAAAGTTCAAATGACCATAATCTTATGTCAGCTGTTAATGAATAGTTTGGAAAAAATGTTTTCCATGACACTCTTGAAATATATTATGTTGAAAATTAAAGTGTTGAAATGTTCTTTTTATTATAAATAAGACCGGGATCAAACTTTTAGAATCTTTTATTTCAGCATATATATGGAAAGCCCCACGTTGGGCGCCAATGACGCTTTGGGCTTAAGGAGGCTTAAGTGCAATGGAGCTTAGCCCAGTCTTCAAACCTGTTTTATAGAAGTGAAACAAGAAGACATTTTCGTAAGTTTGCTTTTTTTGATGTTAGCGCCTTAGCGTAATTAAAATTGATACCCTTGTTTACAATTCGTCGTTCAACACATTCAACGTACATTGAAATTGGACCTCGTCCTCTTAAAACCAGTCGCAATATCCAGTCAGCTGGTGCGAAGGCGAACTTCAAACAACTCACACACAGTTGGCCACTAGCCGCAGTCGATTGTCGACTGTTTTCCGCGGACAAAGTCTGCATTCGTGATTCGTGCGGAGTATCTGGTCGCACCGCAACCCAACCGGTTGCTCGTATAAGAAACTCTTGAGGCCGAAGAACGAGAAACGTGTATGCGGTATGTCGAGAGTACGTAGGTGATGTTACTTTCTAAGATCGATTTTTGAGTGTTTTTTCTATGTGGTGATGTGATTTTAAGATAGTTTTTGTGATTTTTCTGTAATAGGATAGTCTTAGAAACTTTAGGTGAGTGTTGAAATCACCCCAGAAATTACCACATATTCGAAAAATTGCTTGCAAACAGATTTTGTACGATATCCTTACAAACTTTATAAAACATCTTATAAAGTTTGTTTGTACATCTTATAGGAGTTGTAGTATTAATTTATAAATTAAGAAACATTGTACAAAATTACTTACGTACCCTTTATTTCTTGATCCTAATCAATCTAAATATAAAATAAGATTAAAAGAAATTTAGAAAACAAGTAATATTTAACAAAATCATACAAATATGGTAAACGTTAAGAATGTCATTAAAGTGATAAAATCACCAATAAATTGTCATAAATTCGATATACTCCTTAAAAACACTTTTTATGAGTTGCTCCTAAACTTCCCAAACTGGCAAGAGCTTTATTAACTGATCCTGATTCATCTTAAATTTTTTCTTAATACATAATTTTTTTTTCAAATAACTTACAGAACAAGAAACATTTAAAAAAATTATAAAAATTTGATAAGCATTAAGAAAATCATTATATATTTATGAGCGCATTGTGGTAAAATTGCGAAGAATTTACCACAAATCTTAAAAATATTTGATAAATTCTCAAACTACATAGTAATTAATGACTAATGACCAAATGTCATAAAATGTATTCATACTGAGAAGTATAAAAAGGAAAATCCTATAAAATCAATTGAATATCCCAAACTTGCTTAACTCGAGGCTTAACCTAACCTAACCTACTCTAACCTCCCATTTCTTAAATTACAGAAAACATAGTTAAAACAAAAACTGTACATGAAAATAATAAGGATATCATAAAATGTATGATTTAAAATAGCAATTATGGGCTTACAATGTTAGATTGTGAGTGTTGAAATCTTCAAGCAATTTTCACTAATTCCATCGAATCTCTCAGTATTTGATATCGTATAGTTCTCGATATACTCTTTCGAAAGTCTTATTGGTATAATTGGATCATATGACTAGTTTTACAAAATATGTACCTAATATACAGGGTTGCCAACCGGTCTTTACCAATTTACTCTCAAAAACTTTTCCGGATTACTCACAATTACTCACAACTTGAAAATATCAATATTACTAGTTTTTTTTTATATAAATCGTATATTTCGTACTCGTCATTATTTTAATAACCAAGTAATATACAGGTTGATTCATAACTATTGGGACATAGGCTAAGGCAGGTTATTTGGATAAAAATATGGTGATAGGACCAAATATACCTTAATAAAATATTGCTGTGGAATAAGATACAGGGGTCTATTCTGTAACAATTCCTTTATATTTAACGGCCTTTAAAAATATTTTCTTTTTTACTTCTGTCATTATTTAAACGGATCTTTAAAATACATTAGAGGACTATCTTAAAGAAATCTGTTTAAATAATGACAGAAGTAAATTAACGAATACAAACATATTTTTAAAGGTCGCCAATATTTTTAAAGGCCGTTAAATATAAAGCAATTGTTACAGAATAGACCCCACAGGGCGTTAAATTTGAATACTGTTCTTTTGTTTTTTTCTGATGTCACTGTATATTTATGAATTGATATCAAAATTGGCACAAAGGCATATTTTTCGACAAGGAATAATATTTTATGTATTATTTCACATTTTGTTACAGGAGGCGCCACGTGAATGATTCCTGATGATGAAATTAAGTGGTAGCTTTTTTTACGAAACTTTTTAGTATTTTTGATTAGAAAATTTCACCCGTTTTCGAGAAAAACGCAATTGAACAACTCACAAAACATTTCATTTATGAAAAGTTTGCTTTGTTGTGTCAAATAATTTGCTGTTAGATTATAGTCTATTATTATTATTACTATTATTAATATTATTTAACGCCCTGTATCTTATTCCACAGCAATATTTTATTAAGGTATATATTTAGCCCTATCCCCATATTTTGATACGAATAACCTGCCCTTAGCCTATGTTCCAAATAGTTATGAACCACCCTGTATATAAAACATCTTTGTCATCAGCTGAACAAAAAACAGATAAAAAGGTTTGGAGAATCAGAGTAGCTTCTTTATTAACGGGCCAAATCATAATAAATCATTAAATAATTCTAATACTTAAAAAAAATCTACTAATAAAAATATATACTTTTAAAATGATCAAAAAAAAATATATTAATCGACGATTGGGACAGTCCCAATGGGACTATCCACTATCGACACGACACCTATAGTGTTGTAAAATATCCAAATTACTTTTACTCTTTTACATTGACCAAGCAATAGAGGACGTTGCAATTTTAAAACTATAAAATTGTAATGACTGCTAAAAGTGCTGGGGGGGGGGGGGGGGGTAAAATAAGGCTTATATTAAAATTAAAAATTAAAAAAGGAACACGGTTTTAATAAATTATCCGATCAGGATTTTGCCTAACTACCATGAATATACCCACGCTGACTTCCCGATTACTCACATATTACTCATAATTGCCCTTTACTCACAAAATTACTCACAGACTAGTAAATTACTCACAAATGTGAGGAATTACTCACAGATTGGCAACCCTGCTAATATATGAATATTAAACAAAAAATATATTCTGACATAAAAGAGAGAAATACCTACCATATATTAAATATTTTGACACAGTGTGTTGGATTAGAAATGCACCGCTTTGTACTATTTGGAGGCAGACAAAAAAGTTCTTACTTACAGGGTAGGGTGATCACAGTTGCATATGTAAGGTGAAAAAATCAACAAGATATGTTGAATTTGTTTGCGAGTTGTTCATTAAAAAAAATCCACATACAGGTTCATACATTAACCATTATGGAGTTACAGGATGTTAAAGATTATCTATATTTCCAAGGTCAAGTATTTATGGTGTTATAATTGTTAATTACTTGACAAAAGGACTTGTATGCCTTTGCATAATGACAATACTAAAACACAGGCCGATGATTCGAAAATTACGAATATTTTATCACTCTGAATTCAAATTATATTGAGAAGCCCTTGAATAATTAAGAGAGGAACAGGTAAGCTGTAAATTATAAAAATATCAACATTTGTTTCGTGTAAATGACAGTAACGCATTATAGCTACTTGATTTATGTTAAATATTTGAACAACCAATAACATGAGAGGACTATTTCTTATACGAATATGTAACAATAAGTAGATATGATATTTATATTTCATATTGTACCTAACTAGAACCAAATGCATTTCATAGAAGAAAACTCACAATGAACATAAAATTAGGAAGACAGTTCAGAAGTGGAGAATTTCCCAGATTTATCTGCACATTGACTACTTCATTCTGAAGATCCATTGATTGTTTTTAATTTCTAGTTATTCCAAAAACTATTTCAGTTTGACAAAATATGTTATTTCCTATTTACAATATAAATGTATGTAGTGGCGGCTTGTGATAATTTAAAATGGGTGTTCACTTTTTCCAATAATTTTATCATTTGTAAGTTCGTTTCAAAATCTTGTACAAGTAGTTATTATTATCAATATCATACTGTTTTCAAGCACTACAACTATTAATAAATGAATATTTTAGTTAGTGTAATATTTGTTTTGTTTTTAATACGTTGAAAACCATCTATAAACATTATTAGTTAGTAAACTGACTTTTCTTTATAATTTGAGATAATTTTTAAATATATATCAGGTTATGTAGAAAGCTTTTGTGTAAAAAATATTATATGAAACTTTACCTACCATTTGTTAGTTTTTATTGTAAGTTTAATCATTTTCACAATTTATCACAGATGTCAAATAAAAAATATATCTTTTAAATACCTTTTATTGGCAAATAAAATAAGAACCAAAATGTTTTAAATGTTTTTTTATAACACCAGTCCCATCACAATACATAATATTACACAGATACAAACTAGAATAAAGATATATAATGCCTGGTATTCTAAATGATACTCTTCGCAATTTAACAGACCCCCTTAACCCAATCGGCCTCATCTCCTGATAGTTTTTTACTAAAAATTTCATGTTAATATCACACTTTTCATTTTTTTTTTTTTTAATTTCAACCCCCCTTAAATCCCCCATATTTAATCAGATTTTTTTTTATAATTCTTTTCCTTTTAAAGCTTGATGTTTGCTATACATTTCAAGTTAATATCATTTTTCGTTTTGTAGTTAGATTTTTTTTTTAATATTTTAACCTCTCTTAACTCCCCAATATATTCATAATTTTTTCAGTATCAATAGGTTTTATCTTCTTATACAGCTTTTTACTAAAAATTTCATGATTATATCGCTTTTCCTTTTTAAACCTTCTATTTTTAATCAGATTTGTTAAAAATCAATAGGTTTTGTCCCCTTATAGAACTTGATTTTTGCTTAAAAATTTCAAGTTGATATCATTTCTCGTATTTGACTTATCGTGCAGACAAAAAACGTGACATCGGACAGACGAACAAAGTAAACCTATAATACTCTTCACAGCATACAGTATGAAGAGTAGAAAAAAAAGTATAAGGTAAAATAAACAGTTTA